ATTGATTGGTTGTTGAGTTCCTCAAGGTTAGTAGGCTTTGTTCCTGTTTTTTTTTCTTATGACCACGATTTGGGACGTGAACATTGACGTCAATTGTTGTCTACAATTTCGGCTAACAAACAGCTCTCACTACAGTACTATTCTAGAAATATTTCAGGTCAAAGGTCAGATTGATAAAATTACAAAGTGTAATAATCAGGAAGAAAGTTTGTTTAGTCTCCTATTCTACCATGGTCTTAACCTCCTCATCAATAACCTTTCCCCATGAATTTTTTGTTTTTATTGATTGGTTTGCTTTAAAGTATTGGTTTTGTAGGGTTTTTGTTCGATTGCATGGAGGATTTCATCATGAGCTGACATCAGTTAGAGAACCATTGGAAAACCAGCTGGGAGTAATTGACAGCCAGCTGTTTCGTCATCGTTTGGGACTCTTCATCAGTACGCACCCCCACCAGGTTTCGAACCCACAGCCTTCTGGTTACAAAGCTAGCGGGCTCGTAGACCATTCAGCCACTGGGACCCGCCAATCCAATGGCCAGCTCATGAATTCTAACTTCTGCCAATATTCATGACATAGTGCGACCACTTCGTAATGTCTTCTTCGATGAGTTACTGCCTCATCTTCAACCTGCTGTACCCTACTGGTCACGGCTGCCCACTAGAACCAGCACAGGTAGCTACGTACCTGAATCGCGCCAGTCGCTAGTGAGCATCAGATTAATTTTCAAGTATTGGTTTTGTTTGCTTGAATGGAGGATTTCATGATGAGCTGACATCAGTTAGAGAACCACTGGAAAACCTAGTTTGCTTTTACTTTAATAATTAATTCACTATTATCATTCTCATATGTTCCTTTCGTGCGTTTTCTCACCCCCTTCATACTTGTTAAGTGGATACACAACTACCTTTCTACTCACTCAATAACAATTTTAAACTTATCAAATTTCTAATACTTTCTTCCTTTGTGCCGTTGAGTTATTACGTAATCTGTAACTTTTATGTTTACTTTTGAAGTCACTTCTGAGTAATTATATCAATTACGTCACACACCCCCGCCCCGCATTACTCAATAACTGACTACTATACATTTTTGGTAAATATAAATACGACTGTACAGCCAGTCTGTGAAGATGATTTTATCGATAAAGAAAATTTTCTCCACTGAATTGTCTTTTATTAATACTGTATCATCACTGGAGGTCATATGAAATAAATTAGATTCTACCACAGTACCCTAATTCTACTTTCAGATTGACTGAATAGGTGTTTTCCACCCTTGAACAACATCTATGGCTTATAGCCAGATACATGAAGTGTCTATCCTCAATAACTGACTGCTGACTGACTTAGTTTCAATATCAAACTTTGCAAAGAAGTGCAACAGTTCAAGTTGTAGGAATCCACATGTCTGTCTGTCTCTCTGTTGTCTGATTTGGCAGAGGGTCATGACGCTAAATGCTCCTATATGAAGTGAAGTTGGCGATGTGGCTTTGAAAGGCTGTCGGGGGTGTTTCTATGCCTCTCATTGTTGTTTATGGTCACAGAATGAAGTGAAGATGACTCACTTGGCTGAAGAACAGTACCGACTGTAGTAGGCGAGTAAGATGATGAAGGTGATGTGGGTAAAGGAGAATGATGCTCGGGGAGGCTTCGTGTGCTCTTGAAAGTGTGTGGGCGGTTGTTAATTCCCGGCTGCCCACACACCGTGGAAGTTGGTTGATTCTTCGGGTACCTGAAACAGAAGGAGGGTTAGTGTTGCGTGACCACAGAGCCCAGGGGACAAGTGCTTAAGGCCGGTCACACACGGCCTGTATAAACTAGTTTCTTGGATTGGTTCCGTATTAGTAAACTTACCGCAGGTTACAGACCGCCGTAAGGTAAGTCAGAATGTACAATTTTCGGAGTCAACCTTTTCTAACGCCCTCTCTCCAGAGTGGAGAGACAGCATAGCTGGCTGGCATACTGGTCATCTGAGGGAAACACCTCACTGCTGTTACATCCCTGTCCCTCAGCAGTACTACTTTGCCCACAGACCCCCAGCATAGTGTTAAAAAATCTTACACTATGCCAGTAACTGCTTTTAGTCCAATCGCTATCCTAACAATCTTCCTGACATGGTAGGACCAGCAGGAACATTAGTTCCAGCCAATGTAGCTTGTTGGGTCATCGCGATGTGCAAGCCCGACCACCACGTCAAGGTAGCAGCTATCGGTTGGGAAACTCCATATGTACCACACAAAGGTGGAGAAAAGGAACTCAAAAGAACTAAGATGATCAGAATTGTGCTTGAGAAAGAATAGTAAAATGGAAAACATCACGGTTTAGTGGAAGCAGGAGATGCATCTGTGTTATTGGAAACAATTTCGAACCATATCACCAATAGTCTCCAGACATTAGTTTGTAGCATCTGAAGCACCCTGACCAAACAGTCTACATCTACCTAAGTGCCTGCGTCCTACCTCATGTGTGAAGTGATAAAATAGGGTGAGCAATATTGAGGTGAGGCTACTGGATAAGGAGGGGAAATCAATCAACGAGGTTGTGAAGTTATATCGATTGAGATGCTTAGTACATGTCTGACGCATGCTGGCCTAGCCATCGCCTCCCTCGACGACAAGCAATGTTAGCTGACTGACTTAGGATGGATCAGGTTGTAGGGAAAGAGCTAGTGTCTGGTGGTGAAACCAAAACATGGTTTCATCAGTCAGTGAAATCAACAACAGTTAGTTTAAGCCACAGAGGGGGGTGTAGAGTGACTGACCGGTTGGGATCCTCGGGATGGTAAAAACCAATGAAGGCTGGAAACAGTTATCAGTGATATGGCTCAAAATTGTCGTCAATGGCTGGTGGAGAAGCTTTCACTCCTTGTGACTTATAATATCCAATGAAACTATGAGGTTCCTCAATATTACTACTGGTTTTGCCTCACACATCTGTTTATTATCTCTGTTTTGCATTTATTTTTACTTTCTTCTCTTGCTTTGTGTGCTACAAGGAGGGAGTGTGGCGACTCGAACTGCTGCACATCAGTGCATAGTTATACATTGGAACCAGTCAGTCAGTTCGGCTCAAAGTAACTGTCAAAGATTTCACAGAATGATGGCAGGTTTTAGTCTGACCACGCATAACTCTTTTCCAACTTTACCCTACGCCACCTAATATTGATCGATGTGGAAGGAAATGGCTCGGAATGGGCAGCATGTGTCCTAGTCTACTTTCAGTTGTTGGAACTTCACAATTTCATCGATCGGCTTACCGTCTTTATCTAACAGTCTACATCTAACTTCGATATTACTCACCATATATATTAACACTTAACACAGGAGATAGAATACAAACAGCATCTGAGGTCAAAGACAACTACTCTTTGAATATCTTCCATTTTCAATAGCTTAGTTGCTTCTAACAGCCATTATGAAGAACAAAGTGTATTGCTGTTTAGTGCAAACATCCTTTTATCGATAGCCAGCCGGATATTACGGCTATGTCAAAGATAATGTGAGTTGTCAAACAAATGAATTTTAACCAACCTCGTACACACAAGCAGTTACTAAATTGTCGAATCAACTCATTTCAATGGCAGTTTACTCACATTTACCCTGACCGTGTCAAAAATGATGATTGAAAATGAAGCAAAGATCTGGATAAAAGAAGCGTTCGAACACGGGTCGGTCTAATAAGCCAGAGGTTGTAGCTGGTTTTAATTCTGCCATAACACAGATTTCCATTTCACCTACAATTGCTATTCACTATATTATTCTGTCAACCTAAGGCACATCATGTGATGATCAAATAGCAACTCTACGCATCGTCATCACAGAACAAAGCATAGAATGGCAGTCAAACCTCCCTCTACCTCAGTTTCATTGATCAATTTGAAAAGGCCTTCGACAGACAGCATTGATCGAGAAGTAATTTGGAAACTACTTCAACACTATGGCATGCAGTGCCAAAGTCCTAATCAAGCTCATTCAAAAGTTGGCTAAATGACAGTGCCTGCCACGTATCAGATGATCCACAACGTGAAACTCAGCAAGACGTTCGAAGTGAAGACGACAGGAGTAAGACAAGCTGGTTGTCTGTCATCACTGATGATATTCCTAATTGTGGTGGACTGGATTATGCGTCAGATTGTGAGTTGGGAGCAAGGAGACAGGAGTACACTGGACCACCGAATAGAAGACTCCAGAAGATCTGGATTTCGTGCGTGGATGGTTTATGTCTACTGTCACACAAACTTGAAAACTTACAGGCGAAAACCAACAAACTGGCAGAGAAGACAGGACTGTGGGTGAATATCGAGAAAGTGGAGACGGAGGTGATGAAGATAACCAATGGACAGCAACAACAACAGGCATCAATCACTGTCAAAGGGAGAGATTTAACAGAGGTTACCTCCTTCACTTATCTGGCTAGGAAGCATTGTTTCAACTAGAGGTGGTACGGACGAAGATGTCAAAGCCAGTCAGAATCGGAAAGGCAAGATACGCATTCATCAACCTGAAACCAGTTTGGAAATTTTCTGCATGCATCCTAAAGGATAAGATTCGGATTTTCAACACCAATGTCAAGTCAGTCACTGCTTCTATACGGGTCAGAAACTTGCAGTGCGTGTCACCAAAAGGATTTCCCACATGCTGTTACAGACTTTCATCAGCAGCTGCCCACTTCGCTGGCTGGCTCCATACTGAAGATCAAATAGCCAGAAAGAATTAGTAACAAGAAACTGTGGCTGGCAACAAACCAACAAGCAAGAGCCGACTGCTCAAAAAATATGTAGGAGAAAGTGGAGATGGATCAGGCATACGCCACTGGGTAGACCATCAAATGAAATCGCGTGCAATGCAGGCCATTGCTCGAGTGGAATCCCAATGGAAAGTTACGAGTCAGTGGTCAGTGCGAGGGTGACATGGAGGAAGAGATGAGATGGGAACGCAAGGGAACAATGATAATAATAATAACCATCAAACAAAGACTCGTAAAAGAAAAGATCACTAGCTATAATACAAATGCATATTGTATTTATTTTCTTCTTCTTTTTTATCAAAAAATATCAAAATTAAATTTCAAAAACTGTTCAACTCTCTCGTCAGTCTATTCTTCGTGATTTTGCTACTGGTGAGGCATCTTCTTCATCACTGGAGATGATGAATTGAGGACTAGGTTCACGATCCACAAAGGCACGTTTCAATGATGATGATGATGATGATGCTGTTGCTGCTGCTACTGATGATGGCTTAGAACTAGGCTTTGGTTTATCTTCTTCCAGTATGATACAATCTCTACAATAATTATCATGAAAAGAAGACAGTAGACTGGTTACATTATTTCATAAGACACAATATGGAAGATTAAAAAAAGAAAATCTGAAAGTATGGAGGATTTCATCATGAGCTGACATCAGTTAGAGAACCACTGGAAAACCTGAGAGTACTGGACAGCTGTTTCCGTCAACTGTATGCACCCACACCACGGGATTTGAACCCAGGACCTTCTGGTTACAAGGCTAGTGAGGTCGTAGATCATTGAGCCACTGGGCCCGATCCAATGGCCAGTCCATGAATTCAAAATTCAGCCAATTTACGACATAGAGCAACCATTCCGCAATGTCTTCTTCGATGAGTTACTGCCTCATCTTTAACCTGCTGTACCCTACTGGCCACGGCTTCCCATTAGAACCCCAGGTTGACTGCCTGAATAGGGCCAGTCGCTAGTGAGCACTAGATTAATTTTCAAGTATTGGTTTTGTAGGGATTTTGTTTGATTGTATGGAGGATTTCATCATGAGCTGACATCAATTAGAGAACCACTGGAAAACTGGCTGGGAGTACTGGACAGCTGTTTCCCTTGTCCTAGTTTTGGACTCTTCATCAGTACGCATCCACACCGCGGGATTCGAACCCAGGACCTTCTGGTTACAAGGCTAGTGAGGTCGTAGACCATTGAGCCACTGGGACCAGATCCAATGGTCCTTGAATTCTAACTTCTGCCAATTCACGGCATAGTGCGACCATCTGAAAGTCCCAAAAAATATATCCAGGTAGTTAGTACATGACACCTCCTCCAATGATCTAGTCAGCATCATTTCAACTACAGACAGTCAGCACGGATAAGGATGTCAACGTCAGCCAGAATTAGAAAAGCAAGATTGGCATTTATTACTCTGAAACCATTGTGTCGTGATCTGTTGTGCTCAAGGTATGGAAGAAGATACGGATCTTTAACACTGATGTCATATCACTGCTTCTATATGAGTTAAAGACTTAAGGCGCATAACGAAAAGCACTACCAACAAGTTGTAGACTCTTACTAACAACTAGCTTCTCTCTTATACTGAAGAATGGATAACTAGTCAAAAGAAATAAGCAAAAATAAAATTCATCCCACAATATACAAAAAATATCTCTGAAATAACAGCTACAATACTGAAACCGTTTGAAATAGATATAGCACACAAGCCAGTCAAATCACTTCATTTGATATGATGCAAACCGAAAGACCCAACCAACAGAAAAAGAAGATAAAATTAATACCATTTACAAAATAAATTGTATGAACTGTATCAGACATTACATCGGCCAAAGTGGGCGTCCCCTTCGAATCAGAAACCAGGAACACAAATCAGCTGTGAAAAGACATGATATATATTCTTTCATATCAATGCATGTAGAAAATTATGGACATCCATTTGATTGGGATAATGTCGAAATTTTAAACAGAGGAAACACCAAAAATACTGCCAAGGAATTCCTAGAAGCCTGGTACTTAAGGGAATATGTGATTAACAAACGCGTTAATATAGACCAAATCTATCATGTGACCAGAAAGTTTAAAATCCAAGTCAATAAAAAATGATCAATACAGATGTAAAGATGGTTACCGGGAGAAGCAATTCTATCACTCATGGAAAATTTAAATCAGTTCAGTTTATGCTATAAATTGCGCTGAAGATGTCGAGAAGTGGGGACGACAAAAGCTCCGCAACTGCTAATTGCAAAAAGAAACTCTGTTAGGCAACGAGTCGACCAAGAACCTATCACCCGGCAAATATGCAGAAGGAAATGAAGATGGATTGGACATAAACGCTGAGAAGACCGTTGCGTCACATCACGTGCTTGGCAGATCCACGAGTGGAACCCTGGATAGGGAACATCGAGTTAGGTGTCCAAGGGAGACACGGAGAAGAAGATCGTGTGGAGAGGAGGAAATGAAGGCCTATGGGAAAATGTGGAGCTGGCTAAAATAGATTGCAGAGAACGGGCTGAAATGGAGATAAGCTTGCTTAAGTCATATGTCCCGCTCGGAATAATAATACATGACAAGATATTAATAGACCACATATACAAGCTGATGTCTCAGGAAGAAAGACCCATTTACTACTAACCACATAATAATAGTCTTAGGAAATAAAATAGTTCATCATCACAGAAGAAGTAGTACAGCTTTCCAGTAGCATTGACTAAGCAGTCTTGCAAAAATGTTCACCTAGAAAGCTTTGAATAGAAACGACAGAATGACAAAAATCTATATATATTTACCACTGACAGAAGAGCCAACTGTTTCCCTTTAATAGTTGTTAGCATCAACTATGGAAGCTGAAGTTTTGACACGAAAAAGAGATGCTTTAAATGATAATCTTAATGTATATAAATTGAATTTCTAACATCATCCAAATTAGGTGCCATTAGTAGAATGGATAAGAGTGGCACTGATAACGGTGCCAGAGTCCACGGCATACGAAATGTTTCAAGGTGCAAAATTTTTAATGATGGCTCAAAATCGATCGCAGTGGTGCATAGGCATCACTTCTTGTTACAGTTGAAGTCTTAAATGCTCATCCCCTTTACAATAATTCTTCTCATGTGTCCTTTTATAGTTGTAGTTCCCTTCCTATTCTCTATTTTTGTGCTCATTCACAAAACGTGGCAACTTGAAAAGATACACTCTTATTCCCATTTCAATATTACTATTATTATCAAGACCTTTTCTCTCCTCCTAGGATACATTTACGAGGTCACCACAAGAAGGTGCTCAAACCGAGGTCGAATGAAATATGTGTGGAATTTAGATTCTCTCACACAGTGGTCAAGGACTGGAACTCCTTACCTGATTCAGTAGAAACAGTTTCATCGGTGAACGCTTTCAAAGAGAAACTAATTCTCTGCAGAGATATGTATCGCAAGGATTAACATAGGCAACAAGAGCCTTTTTATCCTTATAATCTGAATCTGAAAATACATTCAGTACACCACAGGCACCAAGAGGTGCACCACACAGAATCTAAATCTTTTGTGCGAGTGTTAGGACACTACCAAGAAGCCCAAAACGGAAGTCTTAAGACACAACCTCCAGAGCCTTTGACTATAAGTCTGAACCACAAGGCAGTGTAGCGGCGTTCACATGGTTGACGGTGACCAGAACAAGTTCATACACCATTCGAACCCGTTCGGATTCTGGAGCTCATGTACACCACCATAGGTTTGTAATCAGGGTTGTCTATCTCCCCTAGGTAGACAGTCCGGCTATAAGCACTGAACGTTGGTATTCACCCTCTCACTCTTGTTCGTAAGACCTCTGCCGCGTGAAAGCACTGAACAGGACTTGCCTGGCTGGCCAAATGAGAGCATTTCGAAAGGAAGAACAAAGTCTACCCACCCTTGGCCGTCATTTTAGGGTTACACTTCAATTTTAGTCAATCAACGCCTTCAGTAATTTACTTTTTGCTCTGGTAAGCAATTAGAACATGCCTATGGTGACTTCAAGAAAACTTAATCAAAAGCACATTGATAAGGTAAAATTTTTATTCAAGTGTTGGTTTGTAGGGATTTGATTGGTTACAGGATTTTCATCATGAGCTGACATTGGTTAGAGAACCATTGGAAAACCTAGGATTACTGGGCAGCTGTTTCGTCCTAGTTTGGGACTCTTTAGCAGTACGCACCCCCTGGGATTCGAACCCAGGACCTTTTGGTTTTCATTTATTTCATTTTATTTTTATTACACTCATAGAATTACTTTTATACTTTTAAAGTGTCTCAGTACTCTTCCACTCTTTTTATGTAAATTACCTTATGTCTTCTATTTGTACTTCACAATAGGCCTACGTATATTGTTTCCTATTAGTAAACTAAAACTACAATGTAAATAACCGTCTAGTGATAAAAGCTTTAGAGAGCACATAAACAACGCATGGAAATCAATTCACCTCAGTTGAAAAACAGAACTTACTTCTCATTTTTTAATGCACGAATGGACAACCTGTGAGTAGGAAACTGTCGTATGTACCACGACGAGTCACCACCTCTCATTGCATATGGTATATAGGTAGTTTCAGTGTCATTAACGCAGAGGTTGAGAGATTCACAACCCACATCTGAAGTTGGGAGAACACGAGAAAACAGAGTACCAGGTTTTTTAACAAGACGCTTCATAAACTTTTTGAGAAACTTTTCAACTTGAGGATTGTTTGTGTCTAATAGTGTTTTAGAACTGTAACCCGGAGGGATCTGCACCACAGAAATAACGTAATCGTCAAGATTCATGTTTATTGAATGTGACTAGAGTATATTTTTAGATTGTATTGAATGATGCGAAATGATAAAGTCCAGGTGAGTTATGTAGGTCTTATCACGTGTTACAGTGACACCCAACGAGTTTTGATTGAACAAGAGGTGTGCTCCCAGGCCCAATGTATTACACAACCGTAGCTCAATGCTCTATTTAAAATTAGATTACGGAAAAGTTTTATGGGATTATCAGTAAAAATGGATTTGGTAATCCAGACAACAGGAAAGACTGAGGATGAAAAACGTCAGCCAGCTCCCAATGTGAATAAAACGTTTTCGTGTGTAAGAGAGGAGCAAACACAAATTCAAAATTACAAACGAGAAGGTAGGCACGTCAAGAAATCGCAACTGAATAAATCATTAAGTCATCAAAATGTGACGGGTGACCTTCGACACTTAAAAACCCCACAAACTCTATTACAAATGTCCAATATTGTTATGATTTTCTTTTATTGAGAATTATAGGCTGAAATTATCCCGCATGCTCAAGGTCATTGATGGAGTGAGACGCTCAAAGGTCATTTTCGCCTATGTTAGTCAGTTATGTTGGATTGCAGTTCCGTAGCCGTTCGTTTACACATTGGTTTTACGTTCTGTTGGCAATTATAGGTGATTCCCATGTACTGATAGCATTCTTTTGTAAAATAGTACTGTTCTTCACACGAAAATAGCCACATTTTGACGTAGTCTTCATTGGATGACAATATGTCGAAAGCTGCAGCTTCTACAAGAAGTAAACTATTTGTGTAGATGACATTACCCCCCAACTACCCCATCTTCTTCATTGTAGAGATGTTTTGACGCATTCAGCATGAAACACTAATCATTACAACCAATATGCTAAGTGTGTCGCAGTCAGATTAAATGACGCGAACACCTACATAACTAGCCAGGAAATGAGAATTCCTATCAATCCAGAAAACATATAACAAAATTTTATTAAAAATTATTGACAAAAAACATTTGCCGAGCGAAATTTCAACCAACATGCCGGATAAGTCCAGCCGAATTATAATGACTTTATAATATAGTATGCCCAGTACCAGCTTTTTTCAAAATATTAAGTATATAGGGTATATGTGGTCTCGATGTTATGGGCTGCAGTAAAGTACAGGGACCTGAGTAAATGACCATCAACAACCAATCAGACAAGCTCATGGGGAAAACCCTTGATTCGGAAAAACCTGTTTTATGGAATTTGAAGAAAAAAGTGCAAATAGTCACACAGGGTAGCAACCTATTATATGTTTTAGGGCTGTTTCTAAATTCCCCATAAGTCTTCTAATATTAGTCCACACAGATTTCGGCACATGGTTCCATCGACATGACTGTAGTGTGAATGTATGTGAGTGACGACACTTACCTTTAAGTACTTCATGTCCCACAGTGGCATCTGCGTACGTTTTCAAAGTCATTACCACTGCATATATTCATGCTCTATTCCTTCGTGTAAGCCTATAATCCATATAGTACTGAAGTAGTAACTCTAGATGGATTCTGAAACGTAATTAGTGTACTTCATCCACATCCGCACTTTTTTACTGCGGGTCCAACAGTTTGTCTGTTCGATGTTACCATGAGGGTTGTCCATTTGGGTCACTAAACTTCAAAGTATAATGAATTTCACAACCGAATTTAACGATTATGAGCTAGGGCATTTTAAATTGGAATCTCGTGGTACATCTGTGAGGGACAATTAAAAAATCCTTTAAAGACTTATTCCGCTTAGTTGTAGACACTGATCATGCTGTAAATATTTCGATGGTAGTGGAGCTTACAGCAAGCGAGATGTCATAATATGTAGTCTAGCGCCTTACTATGCAGATCTGTAATATTTCTAAGGTTCGTATTATGTGGCTTTTCTATCAAGGTGAGACTTGTCACGGTTGGTGGTGGTAAACAGTGGTATGATACCAAAGGGAGAGTGACAGATAAATTAGCCTACACAATGCGAATAAAGTAGTGCAGATAGCGGCAGCATGGAACAACATGGTGTCCGAGTGCCCATGAATTCCTTCCGAGAAAAAAAAAGCATGTGAAATAGCTAAGTTAGGGAATGGAGAGAATGATCCAACATGAAACAACACAAATGCATTAAAAGACAAGGAATTTGTGAACTAAACCCCCAAATCATGAAAGGAGTTGAATAGAAAGAGTATCACTTCAATGAAAGGCTCAAAATAATCCGTCACGAAGAATTCAACCAAAACATAATAAACGACATTGTCTTAATAACTACATCATAATTTCACAAAGAAATGCATTAAGCAGTGTCCTGAAATACGAAAACAAGCGATTCAAATCAAAAATATCTCCATGTCATAGAGCAAAGTAAACAATGGGAATCACACGGAGGTTGAAAAAGTAACAAACAAAGATAAGCGAATTAAAGGTACTGTTGCCTGTTGTTAACATACAGAAAATCAAAAAAATGATTCATCAAGGGGACTACTTTCATCGAATTCATCATCAAATTATCCAATGAACAATTCGGAAACGTCACAGTCGATTGATTTTCATTCAACCACTAACTTCCCGTGAATTTTGACCAAAAAGAAATTCAAATTGTAGAGTTCAATTCAACAAATCTTGCCGTATCTTGTTCGTGCTGTCTCATGCAAAATCGATTGCATTCTGAGCACGTAAACAATCAGGAGAAAAGAGGTTCACTAGTCCTGATTAGTTTGACTCACTCCTTTAATGGTGCTTAGGAAGTTGCCTAATTCTCTTGCCAGATCAAGAAAAGCAAACTGAATTTCCTTTCCTTCCTCAGATGCCTCACAACTTACGAACTAAGCACAGAAACGTCTGAGCGAAATGATACAAACCGCGACCAAAGTAAAGGTCGTAGATGGACTATTGACAGATACAAACGCACAAGCACAGATAACTCCTGTTATACAATTTCCCTAATAGTTGGTAGTATTCAAAGGCTGTTTTATGAAAACTGGTATGGCCAGCATGCAATAGTTTTGCAATAAGCCTGCATAAAACTATCACTTTCCTACAGCTCACTCCTCATTGCTGAGGAAACATTAGAGGTCCTAGTTGTTGGATTCTGAAACACTGCACTTAACCCCTTCTTCCTGTAACTTTGCCAAATGCATTCGTTGGGTGATTGGCCTCGCTTGCTAGGGAGTTTGTGGTAAATATAAACATAACATCAAATTGTGTGTCTGATTTCAGAAGGGGCGCAAAGTGGTACGGAATTCTCTTCCAATACAAAAGGACTAGCTTCTCAGTGGGGGAAGTCCCAACCATCAAACTTCAACAAAATGACAGCTTCAAAATGGGAAAATTTTCCTACGTTAATCCTTCCTACTTGCACGAAGCACTTGTTTGACCATTCATCCTTCGTTGGCATTGCCATCTACATTCATATCATTGCCAGATGCTCTGACTAGGAGTAATCTTGTAGCACTGTTTGAAGTGGGGTGACTAGTGTTGCCACGCAGCTTTTAAGACTGGCCAAAATTGGTGAGGATTCATCTAGGAAGGAAAAGTTGAAAATCAATGTACGCTAAGCTGGAAATATTTAAGGAAATGCGACATATAAGGAAAATTATGTATTGGCAGTTTAAGAGGAATATTTGCCACGACCATTCGGTTTCTTGAATCAAACTGTTTATCTGATCATTGGGCAGAGCCTTTGAGACATTGCATAGTATATAACTTTCGACGAATGTCACCCATTACAGATCTTTTTCTAGGCCAGCCAGCAAAGTTCCGAAGAGGAATACACTAAAGGGAGTGAGAAGTGGTCACTACTTATACTATTTTTTATTATTGGCAATGTCTCATGGGTTTCTGCATGGATCACTAAAGTATCCTTCTAATAATATTTTTTGCCGGTTTCACCTGGATTTTTCACTGACATGCAATGTGTTATTCTATCTATTCCATGGCATCAGAAACTGTGATAACTCAACCCAGCATTTACTGCTGGAATTTACTTTCTTTCTTGTTATGATCTCATTTCTTGCCTACTGAATATTTGGTCTCGAACTTCAAAATTTAACGCCACTACTAGTGAATGGTTCTCAAACCTATTAATGAGCCATTTGATCTGACGCTATTGTATGATGGTAAGTCACAATGTATTTGAATGCGCTAAGGCATCAATCAATTTCCGTGCAACTCAACAGAGTAAAATCCCAGTCTGTAAAAATTGGTATACTTTCGTGAATTTTATGCCTTCTTTGGCATACACTACTATTATATTAGCAGGAATATTCGTAATTTATTTAAGCAGTATACCGGCAGATGTACCCTTTTTAAGCATTCTTATATGTACGTCTTTAACTTCATAATACTCAGCTCTCGTCTTTAGACTGTTATATTTTCACTACCAAAGAAACTTGTTAGTTAGTCTTCTTGGATGACTTCGAGCTCGCTTCAAGTTGACTTCAACTGGAAATAGCGTTCATGATTATTGTTTGGCCACTTTTCCTGCAGAATCTAAGCCTCGACTACGGGCGTTGATATGGCATATCCCCTGTTTGAAGTGGCGCCTCCACCTTTACCTTGAGGACATTTGCGCGGTCTAGTTGATTTCAGTTTGGCTGATTTGTTTCGTTTGATCTAGGTAGCTGCATTTGACGTGATTCTGGTTTTTATTTGGCTTGAACTGTGTTGATTTTGTTAAGAATAGTCGTCAAAAGCTGTCTCTAAGCCTGAAGGCAGTTATCGTGCAGGAGGATGCTTGAGAATGTGTTTCATGTGAAAATTATAGGGTGCACCTAAAATCCTTGGTGTTAACTCCTGTTTGTGGCGTCTCAATGATTTCTGCAGAGCTTCGTTTTATCACTTGTGTCCATATTTGTCGTTCACGAGTGTTTCAGTAAATGTTTGTGGCTATAATCAGGAACTTTCCAAAACGGTAATTGTGGTAAGGAATTTATATTTTTTCCGCTATAGTTTCCAAGTCAATGTCACTTTCAAGTTGCTTATTGTACTCTGTTGGCTATTCGTGAATTTTTAATTCAAAAGCTTCTGTTTTCATTTACAGTGGTACCGAATGAACGCATTGGCACTTGGAGACAATGGCGACCAGCCTGCCCTTCCTATATCAGTGGATATCAAAAAACATTTTGACGGAATTATGTTTAGTCACCGTTATACCAGTTGGGTTCAAGCAGAAGATGCTCTAAGTCAGCTGGAATCAGTAATATATGTATATATGTATGACAGAGTATTCCTAGGCAACTCATACACATTATGTAATCAAAAAGTGCATACGGGACCATGAATCTCAGGATTTGAAGTACAAATTAGAAGCCTTTCGTTGTACATATGGTATGAAGCGAAAAACTAGAGGTTCAGGTTTATGCGTCAAACCATAAGAATTCTATTATTTATTTCTGCAGTGCAAAATACACCGGTTGCCAATCTGGCTTTCGTATGCGCTACAAGGAGGACGAGTTTATCATTTCTTCCGCGAAAACTGTTCACAATCACAGATGTGAACAAAGTCTTATGATAGGTGATCCATATTTTAGACGCCTGTCCGGGGATGTAAAGGAGAATATTGCACCAGTTGTGACGACTACATCTGAGGTTGGTGATGTTTTGGAATATGCTGAAGAAAATTTTAATAAAATTTTGACGAGCACAGATGTGTATAATTAACGTAAGGATGTCAGACCAGGTAAGTGATGTAGTTTAGAGTTATTTTGGAAGCCATGCCTTTGAGATCAGATGTTATGCGCATATTAAGGCAAAGCGGTCAACTGTTTAGCCTGGCCCACCCAACATGGTTGTCACGTCTGTTCTTAACGCCGCTCCAATCAGTGGAGGTAAAATATAGCCCTAATGCCTGCTCAAAAGTGCATCATTAACCATTATATGAAGACAATATGAAGATATACAATCAAACAACAACATCTCTTGAAAACCCAACTAAAACCCAAGTGCTTCACTCCGCACCGACAAACAAATTCATCGTCGGGAGCAAAATGGCTGAGGTTCGACAGATTTCACGAACTTCAACTCCCAAAACTTGAAATCACGCCTTTAGGTGCGGGATCTATCATTCCTACCAATCTTTTTTAACATTCTTCTCACTCCAGTGACTCACATTTTTAAATGCCTACTCCTTAGTGAAGTAGACCGGGGCCATCTCCACTTCCCGACTACCTCGCCCCGCTCATCTCTCACTGATTAGCTCCCCAAAGCTGCTAAATGTCACATTCAACTCCCCAGAGCAGTTGGCCATAGCACTTCAACGGTGGTATGAGAACAAGGTAGAAATAGGAGAACACATCCGATGCTGCGAAAGCAAACCTCGAACCATAAGGAGGCAGCAAACTGAGGCTTTACTACGTCCTCAAGCTTCAGTGACACTGGAGCGATACAGTTCTGAGAATAACAGTCTGTGTCACCCAAGTGTCCTGCCTAAATCCATGGAAAAATATTACAACGGGCCGGTTCCATCGGAACTGGCCAACCAGTCTCAACATTAAGCCCCCTACTAGCAGACAGCTTCACGTCAACTACCCCACAGCACGCTGAGGTTGTAAGAATCACTGTCAGCTACCTATATAGCAATGTGAGGGGGCTGAGAGGAAAATTAGGTGAACTCCGAAATCTCCAAGCACCCCTACAACTGAAAATGATCATTCTCACCGAAACATGGCTAACCCCCACTATCGCCGATAATGAAATCAGTATAGGTGATATGGTTTTGGTCAGGAGAGACAGGGATAATAAGGAAGCAGGGGGAGTTGCTATATACTTTGATAGGCATCTTAAAGGTGTGCGCGCAACGGACCCACCACTTATTGAACTCCCAGACTCCATATGGTGTCATTTCACCGTGGGCCACACCAAGCATTTACTTGGTGGCATCTACCGATCTCCCACCCGTGGGGCAGAGCACAATCAGCTGCTGCTCAGCACTATCACAGGGATACGAGACTTGGGCTATGACCAAATCACCATTGCTGGAGATTTCAATGCCCCATCACTAAACCTTGGCTCGAGGTATGCTAAGAGAAAATTCGGCCGAAATCTATTGCAAACTATTCGAAACACGGGACTGACTGAGAACGTTGGAGACGACACTAGGTGGGGCCCTAGTGGAAAGTCATCAAAACTAGACTACATTCTAACTAGTGACCAACTACTCGTCAAAAAGGTCCAGATCGTGACTCCTATAGGAAGTAGTGACCATGCAGTCATAGGTTTTGATCTCGTTCTCCGTGAGCATTTGCAGTGGGACGTTACGCAACCATGTCTGTGTTACAGCAAGGCTGACTATGCTGAAATGCGGAGGCTCTTGTTCGATGCAGACTGGCCCTTAGTATGGGATGAGCTGTCTGTGGATGAACACTGGGAAGCAGTAAAAAAAGATTATTCATAGAGTAATCTCGGATACCGTCCCTTTAGTCACAACACAGCCCAAAAGAAAGTCATCATGCTTAAAGGGAGGCACGCAGAGTATTCTGCAAGCAAAGCGGAAAGCTTGGTTGACGTGGCGCGTATCTAAGAACCAGATCGACCATGATGCATACCTGGAACTCAGGAACCGGTGCAATGCAAGGGTCAGGAGGGACAGGAGGTCATTCCAGGCTAACCTTGCTAAAATACTCCTGGCAAACCGCAAGAATTTGTCGGAAAGAAAACCGACCAACCAGGGGGCATGCACCTTAGTAGGCCATAACGGTCAATATCTCACTTGTCTGGAGATGGCTGAAACATTTAGTTTAGCCTTCGCCAAACAGCTAAACAGCAATGTGGGTATTACCGTTACGGACCAAAATGGTGGCATCACTATTTCACAGGAGGAAGACCAAATAGCCACCCTCCAAATAAACCCTGCAATAGTACTGAGGAAGCTGCAGCGACTCATACCTAGGAAGTCCCCAGGTTGTGATGACATCAGGCCATCTGTTCTGAAGCAGTGCACCGAAGCTCTCTGTAGGCCCTTATGCGACTTGTTCCAACACTCCATGGAATCGGGGAAACTGCCAAAGGAATGGAAAAGAAGCATCCTTTCTCCGATCTTCAAGGGTGGGGATAGGCAAAATCCCGCTGGTTATAGACCAGTAGCTCTACTCCCAGTGGTATCAAAAGTACTGGAAAGTATTATTGATGATCGCATCAGGGAATATCTCGATAGGTCTAAAATACTCCGTGAAGCCCAACACAGTTTTAGGAAAGGGAGATCCTGCGTCACTAACTTATTATCAGCTTGGGACAACTGGACATCATGCTGGGATATGAATGTTCCAGTCCACGTGATCTTTCTAGACTTTGGGAAGGCATTTGACACTGTTCACCATGACCTTCTCCTACACAAAATAAGCCAGGTAGGTATAGGTAAACCACTTCTGTCATGGTTGAAGGACTACCTAACTGAAAGGCAATTTTGCACCAAGGTCAATCGAGTCCGATCATCTTGGCACAGCTCGTCATCAGGAGTGTCGTAGGGTTCTATCCTGGGACCACTGATGTTCTTGATTTTTATCAATGATCTACCATGCCGTCAAAGCTGCCCGACTCTTCTATACGCTGATGACGTAAATATATGGAGGGCGATAAAGTGTCCAGAGGACTCAAATAGACTGCAGGCAGATCTAAGGCTTCAGAAAGACTGGGCGGTGGCCAGTGGCATGACTTTCAACCTGAAAAAGTGCGAAGTAGTGAAGTTACGCACCTGTAGGCTGCAGAATGCAAGTTACACGCTGTGCAATGAAAGCTTGTCCTGCTCAACGTCGGAACGTGACTTAGGTCTAGTTCTAACGGAGAAAATGGACACAAGCGTAAATTGCACGGGGGATGTAGCGAGGGCATATGCGGTCATACACTTTACACATAGACAATTAGGAGCACTCACTCCTGAGCTCTTTCTAAGGTTGTATAAAACATACGTCAGACCGCACCTTGCATAATATCATTGCATCTCCACTGCTTAGGACAGACGCCAACCTCTTGGAAAGAGTCCAGCGACGGGCAACAAAAGGAGTGGTTGGTCTCCGAAACAAACCATATGATGAAAGGCTGAAGAAATTAGGCCTATTCACACTCAGTTACCGTCGTCTTACGGGGGATTTAATTACTGCCTACAAAATAACAAATGATCAGAATCACCCAAACAATGGTTTTCTGCCATTGAGTAGGTATAGGCTCCCTCGTGGAAATCATAGAAGGATAGCTCATCAGAGGGCAAGGACCCGGGTGCGCTCCCACTTCTTTTCCCTGCGGGTTTGCCGTCCCTGGAATTCCTTACCGGCAGATATAGCTATAGCACCATCTGTGGACACCTTTAAGCGAAGGCTGGACAACCATGAAGCGACACAAGGACTGCATCCAAATGGCTTATCCCCTTAAAATCGCATACACCATTCAAAGGTAGACAATTAAACTGGTCGTATTACTTTTTTACATTCTCTTCCGTCTTACTCTCCTGACAGCTTTAACTACACCTATTACTATTATCATTATTACCGGTATATATATACCGATTGACTGACTGTTGTTACGTTCCCTTATTCTTTTTCTGTCTGTTAGTCTAAATACCTTCACTAATTATATCTATTATTATTATCTCTTTTCTATTGACGACGATACCGAAGGACCAAGTGGTGAAAGGATCAACTCCATTCACAGTAGTAACAGTCTTAACACACCTCATTCTACAAACCACATACAATTAATCCCTGCACTACTCTTTTTGGAGTAAACCAAAGCTACAACAGTCGAGTGGCGGGACGAGCTAAGCAGATGTTTACCGAAGATCAGGAACCTCTAGCTCACAATCAAGAGGCGAGCACAAAGAAATCAAATTGGTTTATACTAGCTCGTAAAAACGATATTGGATATTGGAAGGAGGTTAAGTGCAGTGTTTCAGAATCCAACAACTAGGACCTCTAATATTTCCTCAGCAATGAGGAGTGAGGCTCATTGCAAAACTATTGCATGCTGGCCATACCAGTTTTCATAAAACAGCCTTTGAATACTACCAACTATTAGGGAAATTGTATAACAGGAGTTATCTGTGCTTGTGCGTTTGTATCTGTCAATAGTCCATCTACGACCTTTACTTTGGTCGCGGTTTGTATCATTTCACTCAGACGTTTCTGTGCTTAGTTCGTAAGTTGTGAGGCAAGCGTTTGGTTTGGAAAGTTCCAACAATTGTGATATAATGTGTCTTGATGATACAAGTTTTTCAAGAGTGATAGAGGTGGAGTGCTACCGCTGTAGGTTGTATCTGGGTATTCCTACCTGGAATTCGGGCTTTAAGGCTCAGGATTTTCACTTCCTAGGCTGTTACAGGCATAATCTAGCTTTCTAAGTATGGCTTCAGTGCAGTGGAATTAGTTTATGCACACAACAAACCAAATGTCATCTGAGAAAGGAAAGGAAATTCTTTTTGCTTTTCTTGATCTGACAAGAGAATTAGGCAACTTCCTAAACACCATTAAAGGAGTGAGTCAAACTAATCAGGACTAGTAAACCTCTTCTCTCCTGGTTGTTTACTTGCTCAGAATGCAGTCGATTTTGCATGAAACAGCATGAACAAGATTTGTTAAATTGAACTCTACAATTTGAATTTCTTTTTAGTCAAAATTCACGGGAAGTTAGTGGTTGAATGACAGTCAATCGACTGTGACGTTTCCGAATTGCTCGTTGGATAACTTGATGATAAATTCAATGGAAGGGAGTCTCTTCGCTGAATCGTTGTTTTTTGATTTTCTATATGTTAACAATAGGCAACAATATCTGTAATTAACTGAACACGGTTTATGTCCATGTACATGGCGGCATTTAAGTGTTTTAAATTATATCGCTTAATGTGGAAAATAAGGTTTTGATCATATGAGGAATGTTCAGAATAACGCATATGCAATTTGTTATGATTCGGGATACGTTGAGATTGCTGTTTGTGTTCCGTATTTTTTGTGAACTTCCGGGTGCTCCGTGGTGCTGGTGTTCTCCTGCTAATGCATGTTTTAGTTTTCTCTGAGGTAGCAAAATATTGATCTCCCTCTAACAAGTTGAGGAATTGTAGAACAAAAGAAATTTCATTCGGTGGTAATATCTGTAACTCCAAATGGTTGTTGAAAGTCAAACACTGGAATGGTTGGTATATTTTAACTTTTCCCAACTTTGATGACAGTGAACTGCTTATTGATTCCGCATTTGAGCTGTAAAAATATCGACTGAATAAAGAATAGATAAATCCTTGATTTACTGTCCTGCTAAAACATATTCCATTTAGATCGACTTTGTAGTTTTTTATTGCCAGTCTTCTGTCTGTTAAAGCACTGTCGCTGATTTCTCTCTTTTACATCGTCACTTGTTTTTGGTGTATGTAACTTCATATTACTGCATAGTTCCATTAATGGTTCTCTCATGGATGGACTGTTCCCACCTTTTCCTTGTTTACGTTAACTAATGATAAAAAACACCTATTTTTCTTACACTTTTGTGAATAGCATTCTTCCTCAAAGGGTGTGGCTAGATAATATTTCTAGTTTCTGCTCGTAGAAACACTATAAATCTTATCATCCACACCTGCATGATCCAGTAAGTGTTTTAAGGACACTATCACACAGTATTTTATCTGCTAGAAATTTTGTTCACGGTTAGTTCAAGCCACATAGGGAGGTATAGACTGCCTGACTGGTTGGGGTCCTCGAGATGGTAAAAACCAATGACGGCTGGAGACATTTGGTAATATGGCTCAAAATCGTTCTCATTGGATGGCACAGATGCGTTCAATCTTTGTGATTTATAATATCCGATAAAACCAAATTTTTCTTCGATATCACTATTGTTTTTGCCTCATAACTCTGTTTACTGTCTCTGTTTTGCATTTCTTTTTATTTTCCTCTCTTGCTTTATGTGCTAAGTGAAGTGTGGCGACTCGAACTGTTGCACATATGTATGAGGTTCTACGTCGAATCTAGTCAGTCAGAAAGTTTGTCAGGTAATCAGATCAGTAGATAGAAGATACCTATTTCCAAAGAATAAGTTCACCTGATAGAAACAATTCCTGGACGTCGTTTGAAAGAAGAAAAAGTGACGTACTTAGTCGTGCTAATGATGTACAGTGCAACCACCACCAAACAATTACAAAAACTAGAATTTGGGACATTTTCACACTGTAGTAAACCAGAAAAATAGACATAATTTTGTTAATGATCTCCTCATCTTGCGTTTTCAATACGAACACCCTCAATTCACCATAATTGTTTTTTATCAACTTTGTATTTCGACAAGTTCTTCCCACTTGCATATCTTACATAATAGCTCATAAAATGTCACAATTTAGTTGGCTTCACAGTGTGTTTAATATGTACTTCCCTTGATGCTATGCACAACCATCAATTTGAAAAAATCTCTTAGATTTTACTTTTTTTTGAATAGGAGTAATAACTTCTCAAATGAAGTTTATATAATTTTTATTTATCTCCTACAGTTTCATAAAGGTTCAGTGAAATTGATACAAACTTGGACGTCTAGTTTTGTTCAGGGATTTATTACTATTTCGACAGTGTGAACTTGAAATCTCAATAAATATGCAACGTCTTGTACCTTTCATCCCAAGGAACTTGAAAGTTGTACTGAAAGATCCATTGACATATTTAAAGCCTTTGTATATTGGGTAAGTTGTCGAAATAAAACTATGAATTATCTAGGCAATATTTTAACGTTATAACCAGCTGATTTTAACTTTATTTGTAAATAATTTTCAACCCGTTGACAAAGTATATCGTATATTCTTGGTGCTTTTGAAAGTGTGTGGGCGGTTGTTACTTCCCGGTTGCCCACACCGTGGAAATTGACTTTTTCTTCGGGTACCTGGAAGAGAAAGAGAATTACTGTTGCGTGACCGCAGAGCCCAGGGGACAACTGATTGAGGCCTGTCACATACGACCTCTACGAACTGGTGAAGTATGGCAACTCGAACTGGTGCACATCTGTGCAAAGTTCTACGTTGAAATGAGTTATTCATTCAGTGTGTCCTTAGTATTGATTGAGTTTTACCGAGGAAGTATGCAGTGTAATCACTGAGTCACGAACAGTTTTCAGCACAGAGTTTTCAATGTCTTTTATTTCAAAGCTGTAGATCTGGATTTTGTGCTTAATGGTGTATTTTTTCCTCTGGTTTTTGAACCTGTACCAGGACTATAAATAGTGTGTTTTACTTCACCAGTCATTCATTGTTAGAATATTTTGTTCACGAACAATCCGCCGATTAATGACCAGTGTAGTGTTTAACTTGTAGACGGTGATCGAAGTTCACCAATCAAGCATAGTTTCTCTATCCCGTTTCGTATGTATCATTGTCGAATGTAAGATGTGATTTGCAAAAGTATCAGTCATGTAGAAAAAGGTGCTAAGCTAGCCCTACAATTGCCCATAGTCTCTCATCTCCTCCTCACACGATCTCCTCCATGTTACCCTTGGACTCACGTCCGAGTCGTCGTTCCCCATTCAGGTTCCACCGGAGCAGTGGCCTGGCGCGCGATATCACCCAACGGTCTTCTCAGCGTGTGTCCTATCTATCTCCATTCTGTCCTACATATTTGCTGGACAGTCCCAAACAAGAACTAACAGGCTAACTGTCGCTTTCTGATTCGTTTTCAATGATTCTTTGACTGGTAGCGAGTTTGTGATCTATTTTTTGAAACCAATGAAATCCCTGTAAATCAACACTAGAGAGTAGACTGCTTCATTAGACGACACTACAAAAGTACATATGATGCATCTATTGACTGGGTATTGATTTTCAGGAGAATCGAACACACCTGTCCCTGCCTCTTCCAAGATGAGACCAGCATGGAGTGTCATCCTGTGACGGAACCAGTCGAGATCTCTCTCCCTCGGTGAACCAACAAAAGTACATAAGGGCGCGCATTTACAGTTAACAGTTATAGGGAATGTAATTCACTTTCATTTGTAGCTTTTATTTTCTTAAAAAAGGTTTTTTTTTATTGGATGGAGGATTTCATCATGAGCTGACATCAGTTAGAGAACCACTGGAAAACCTGGGAGTACTGGACAGCTGTTTCCCCCGTCCTAATTTGGGACTCTTCATAAGTACGCACCCACCGGGGTTCGAATCCAGGACCTTCTCGTTACAAGGCTAGCGAGCTCGTAGACCATTCACCAGCCACTGGGGCTCGATCCAATGGCCAGTCCATGAATTTGAAATTCTGCCAATTCACACACTACATAGCGCGACCATTTCGCAATGTCTTCTTCGATGAGTTACTGCCTCATCTTCATCCTGCTCAACCCTACTAGTCACGGCTTCCCACTAGAACCAACCCAGGTCACTACCTGAATAGGGCTAGTGAGCATCAGATTAATTTTCAAGTATTGATTTTTGTAGGGATTTAGTTTTTATTGTAGTATAGCAGTAAATCGTTAAGGTGTTCTCGCAATTGATTGAAAAGTTTTTCTATTTTTTAAATCCACAGTCACAATATTGTTAACAGAAATATCCTCAAAACTGTGACTTATATTCCAAACCGGTCAATGAAAATTTACACTAGAACAGGTGACAATGGAACAAGTAGTCTGTTAACTGGTGAACGTCGTCCAAAAAATGACACTGTTTTTCATGCACTAGGAACAGTCGACGAACTATCATGCTGTTTAGGCCTAGCATCAGCTCATATTGATAATCATATAATACTTATGGGCAAACAAATTCCTCAATATGATGTGAGCATTGTCTTGCAACACTTAGAACGTATACAAGGTCGTCTACAAGCCTTATCATCTGCAATCGCTACACCGTTGTACCACTCTCATGAAGAAGGCATTGTATTACCTCGGTCGAAACGTTATGAACATGTAAATTTCCCGGAGAGTATTGTATCCAATGAGCTAGAACAATGGATTGATCAGTTCACCGAGGCATTACCACCATTGAAACAATTCATTTTACCTTCAGGTGGAACTCCTGGCTGTTCTCTACACTATGCAAGAGCTGTATGCCGACGAGCTGAACGATTCGTGATACACATGAATTTTGAACGTGAATATCCATCGGTTGAAGACAGTGTTATTAAATACTTGAATCGTCTTAGTGACTATTTGTTTGTTGCATCGCGATATATTACACATGGTTTAGGCTATGCTGAGAAACCTTTTCATTTATCGCATAAACAATTTGATGGAAGCACTACTAATAGTAGTAATAGTACTAGTAGTAGTTGACACACACAAACATATGTCTTCTTCAGACTGCTGCTACTATCCTACATTTTTGCTTATATTTCAGATGTTTTCGTCTGTATCCTGGTGATGAATTTGGTCGAGGTGCAGGCAAGGTGCTTAATAGTTTGATTTTGCTTTTGTGTTTGTCTGTTGGTTTGTTTGTGTCCATCATTTATTATGGATTTTTGCAAGTTGTTGTTGTTGTAGGAGGAGGAGTAGGAGTAGTAGTGGTTTTGATTTAATTTTTCATTTATTTTCTTTTGTTTCTTATTGTTTTTTTGCGATAGTCAAATGTTTTGTAAATTATTTTAAAATATTCTCCGACCCCACCCACTTCCTCCGGTTTACTTAGTTATGTACCTCGACTTCTGCTGATTTTTTCCCTCCTTTACTGCCCTTTGTTGTTGTGTGTGGACCCGTTTGTGTATGTGTGTGTGTGTGTGTATGCGTGAGATAGAGAAAGAGGTTTGATATGAGCATTATTATTTGTAATATATGCATTTGTTATTCTGCTGTATTGAATCAGAACACAAACCTGGTACATTTAGGGGCATCAAGAGATGTGCCAACAGAAAATCTCATGGTTTGTGCAAGAGTTGGGGTACTCCCCGGACGTCCAAGCCGAAGCAGGTGGTTGTCCTAAGAAGCTACCCGTCTTTGAGTCTTTGACTTGAAGTCTGATCTACAAAGCAGTGGACTAGCTAGTGTGAGGGACTGCGTTTCCATGGGTGACGGTGATCGGAACAGATCCATTGGTCATTGGAGCCCATGTACACCACCATAGGTTTGGATTTAGGCGTTTCTAACTCCTCTTGGGGTAGACATGCATGTTAACCAGTCTGGTGATAAGCACCAAACATTAGCATTCGTCCTTTCACTTTCGTGAAGAACACCCCGACCGCCGTGTGAAGGCACTGAATAGGACTTGCCTGGCTATCTGAGGCTATGGATGCGTGATCACATGACAGTATTTGGAGAGGAAGACAGAAGTCTACACCCGTGAACCGCACCAGGTCGTTTTCGGGGGCATGCGCATTCATCGTACAGTTCCCTCTGTTTACCAGTTTCTTAGCATTTGAAGAAGTCTTTAAATGCTGTGCATATTTTCGTGTGTTTTCAAACTTCATTACGTAGGTGTGATTAGGTTTCGATTGCGTGTAGCTTACTGAATGTAAGTGGTGTACCACTGCTTATTCTTGTAACAGTTTTCCAAATGGACCTTAGATTTATGCACTAGGTACCTGGTCCGAAAGTGAACCAAAAGCTGTTTCTTGTAGAGTGGTGTCAGATTACGGGGTTGTTGTTTGTTATTGTTGTCATTCCTTCAGATATATACATAACAGTTTGTCTGTTAGTTGCATAAACGACATTTTGGTCTACATGAAATTATTTCCTCCTTCCTAGGGTTCCGCATGGAACATACGGCTTGAAGATTTAGGCTCTGAATTTCCAGTAGTGTTGGTGTTGTTTTTTGAGGTGGTGTGGTTGCTAACGTCACACTCCCAACCTCTTTACTTTTCCGGGTTTACTGTCTTTCAGGAGACGTTTAAAAGTGCATTGGCTTGGTGTGTGTGTGTGGGAATCTGACCCAGACCCTATGCGTGAATAAAAAGCATTCTGCCATTGGACCAATGAAAAGATGAACTTACTGGTTATCTTTGTTCTACCACTTCCATCGCCTGAGGTGATCGTGGCGTGGTATGCATATCTACTGTTCTCCTGCCTGAATGTATTATCTTTGTGGAATTAAGAGTCGGTTAGATTTAGGACTAATCTCTAAAGCCTCCGATTGTTGCTTTAAACTGATCATGAAGTAGTTGTAGATTCTCTGACCTGAGGAAATGAAAAAACAAACAAACAACTAAAATGTTGCTAAGCAACCGCTTGCAAATCCATCCAGATAGCAATGAGTCATACCCACACCTGCGAAAACTCCAGCAGGTGTAGCAGAGTTCGAACCTATGACCCAGTGATTGGAAGTCAACTGCCTAGACTGATAAAGCATAACTCCACCTTACCCGAGAGGGGCACGTGACCGCACGGACGTTGGGGGGGGGAGAACTCTAGGTGAGAAATAGCTCAGATGTGAGTAATTCTTTACACTGAGGTTGATTTGCCTCAGTCGTCACGACTTCACATGTGTAGAAAAGTGCTGGGTTTATACGAAGTTTAACCGTTCTGAGTTAATCAACCTCTAGCTGTTTAATTCAACTGTAATAGGGTGATTATGAAGCTGTGGTGCATTCCACTTTTAATCTTGCTGTGC